TCATCGGCGAGGAGGCCGAGCCTCATGCTTCGGCCACAGCCACCCCGACCTCGTTGTATGTTCGCCTCCTCATCCACCCCCTTCCCTGTCCAATTTTGCTTTATTTTGGTTCGTCTTTCATCCTGTCCAAACCGGACTTTTTAACTTACGATGCCCGCCTCCTATGTTTCTGCATTAATTAACACGGCGTCGCGTGATCGTGGAGCAGCAGGGTTGAGAGGATGGGTCTCAGTGACGGGCGGATGGCGTTCGTCGTGTGAGCGAAAATAGTATGTAACTCATGGAGTGCAAGCTGTTGTGTGGCTATATGGCGACGCTCGACTGTAGCGTTGAGACGTAGGGCACGTGCGCCATGATGTCGTGCTTCACCATCGCCTCCCCTAGCTTTCTCTCAAGGCATCGTGGTCTCGATGGGTTGGGGCTCGCCTCCCACACTCCTCTTTGTAGTGTACAAAAACCAAGGTGACCCCTAGGTACTCTCAACGCTTGGTCTAGAAATCCCTCGAATTCGTTGCCCAAGCCGAGTGTTGTGATCTGACGGTCGGTCATCATGCAGGTGTCGAATTATTGAGGGAGGCTTCAGATCGTCCTGGGCATGGAGATGAGGCTGGCCATTAAGGATGTGGGTGAAGGTCACGTCGTTTCTTCTCCTGGCTCCAATATCCACTGCTGATATTTTGAGTTCTTTGATCTGAGAAAGAACCATGGGAACGTAAGGTTTTTAACCCAACATGATTTAATTACCCTTTTCACTTTTGTATTTTATAAGTACATAAGCATTCAGTTCTTCTATCCTTTGTACGAGGATGCAATTCACTCCAAACATGTAAACAGTGTCACATCTTACATAAGCTTCTAATTTTTTACAATGAGTATGGTACATAAACCAATGTGCTTGGGTTGTGCTTTGTGTTTCTGTCATGCCTTGTCTTTAGAAGGCACCGTGATGAATGCTAATTTAATAGAGGAGAATCAAGCAAGCAATGTGCAATGATTTTAATGAATTTTAATGACCATATTCTACACTTAATGATGATTGATAGTCGATTTATGGTTTCTCCCACTTTAGTAAGAAAGATGTGGTGTACAGAATCTTGCAAAAATGGAGGATATGGATTTGGGGCGCGAACTGTCCCGACCACGGCGGTGCTGCCTACCAACACCATGTGCAAGACTGCCTGACTTGTCCTCTATCTTAATGGTAAGTTTCTCTCTTTTTCTATCTCGTGGTCTCCTTGATTTGTCTTTCGAGAAAGGATTGAAAGTAGTTTGGGTGGTTCAATTAATTCAATGCCCAACAATATCATCAGTTGTCAGCAAGAACTTACTCCAAATTCCATCGCCTAACAATATCATCAGTTGTAAGAAGTTAGGAGTTTGATACGTACCCCGGTGCAAGAGACCATGGATGCAAAAGGTACTTCTGCTAGAGTAAGATTAGATAGTCAAATTGTAGACAAACAGCAGTGTGCATTGGCATTGCAACTTCTGACATGGGATATTTGGGTAGTCAGATAATTAGGAACCTAGACTACAAGGGCAAATGGGAGGCACCTTTCATCGACATTCAGCCCAGGGAACCTCAACTTTCCCACTGTTGTACATTCATACTACTGTCCATGTATCGCTTCTGCTCAACTATAATACACGGAAACATGAAAGCTCATGTTTTTCCCTTGTTTGTGCAGAGTACAAGGATGATTCCTACATCTATGCATTGATATGCTGAACCACATTGGCATTGAGCCAAGCCAGGTTAGTGCTTCAAAAATTCTGAAAAAATCTGTGAAATGTTGTTGACACTTTGTTAAGTATTTGGTTTAACTATGTATGTTTGATTCTTATCCTATGAAGCATAATTAAAGTGTTGACTCTGTTTGACATTTTGATGTATTACGTCTAATTAGTAGCATTTGACTTTTGTTTCATTTCAGATGTCTGATGTAGACAACTAAGGCAATGGCTATTGCATTGTAGGACGAGAAGGTCCAACGCGGTGGCGGCGGGTACATACCCAACGCGGCGACCCGTGGGCGCACCGGTTCTAGGGCCTTGAGAGCTGGGGCCGGCATCCAGGCGGTGAACATGGATGGTGGCGTGTGGAAGTGGGCGGTGGTGGGGAGGGAACAATGTGGCCCTGTCGGCGTCCTCTTCGTTTAGCTTGACATGATCGTCGTTCAGCTGAAAACAAGATTACCTAAGGGATATTAAGACTAGAACATGAATGCACAATACTTTTCCGATGTGATTTTTGTAAATGGAATTAACTTTGTAGAGTTGGCATGACATGCGCCTTCACTAGCGTTAATAATAGACCCTCCCTCCTTCCAAATTCCTGACCAATCATTGTTTTTGTAAGGATCCTTCTCGACTTTTGTTAGTTGTTCATCTATGAATGAATTTAACCATGTGGTCTAACTGATTGGTCATATGAACTTATGAAGTAGTTGTCGTGTGTACTAATTGCGACAAATGGAATCCTTTGCTTTTTGCATTGTTCACTAATATCATTAATAGATATGCATGTGTTACCGATATTTCTTAATTTGGCTGACTGAGCATTACTAGGCTATAATTCTTTGTGACTTTTGATTCTGTTTGTTGTTCTGATCCTATGTCGAATCAATCCCGATCCATGGGGAAGAAGATACAAGGGGACCGACCACTGAGTCGATGATGCCGACGATCGAGGACGGCAAACATAATCATTTTGGTGTCATAGGTTCATTGGAGCTGATGCCGCCACCTCCTCGCCCCTTGGTCTCGGAGGTTGTGATGGCCAGGTTAGCGACATGGCCACGTAGTATGCCTCATTTTCTCCTATTGCGTTGTTTCTTTTTTATCATGTGATTTCTATTTTGTTTCTGTTAGCAATAATTACAGCTCCATGAAGCAAAAGAAAGCTTGAGAAATCATTTTTGTTTATACTCAAAGGCTTGGCTACCTAGGGGTGTTATTGACTCCCTACCAAAAGTTGTGTTTATACTCAAAGGCTTATGCATGCTTTCTAAAAAATATGTTGCACAATCACTGTAATTATGGTGTTATGTGAGTTAGAAGATTTCAAAAGTGCATCAATTGAGAATTACACATATTTATACATCGGACAGGGAAGCATGTATTTGATATTTCCTGCTGAAATTCAGCGTTTTCTATCGGAGGTCTAAATTTTCATATGCCAGACTTTTAAGTTAGATGGTGTGTTATAATGATTTTTTATTGGATGTTGTGCTGTATATTTGGGTCTATATAATATTTGTTAGGAAATTCCATAATGTATTAAGGTTCTGGTTGCAGCATCTTGGAATATTTGTTTAAAGGTAACAAAATGCTCCATCTGTTGTCTTTAATTAATGGTTAATAACAATGGAAATGCTTCGTGAGATGATTGGTCTTAAGCATAAAAGTCATGTAGGGTGCTATCTACCTTGTGTAATATAGTGCACAATAAAGAGTACTATGTTTCTGTACCACTTTCTTTATTTTGTGCATCGCGTGTCTTTCTATGTATATATTATCGAATTACATTTTGTATCGAAGAATATTTTGTGTGATATGGATTTCAATTATGTTTACACCTAAAACTTGATATGCATTATGTTTATATATGCACACGATAAAAATATTTAAAAGCCCGTGGCAACGCACGGGCCTTCTACTAGTATTTGATGCTTTTTCAATTTTTAGATCCGTTGAAACAAAAATCAAATGCCCTCTAGTCCAGGAAAACGCCCTCTCCGGGTCAAAAAAGAAAGAAAAGGAAAACACCCTCGCCCCGCCTACCCCGTCTCATTTCCCCTACGCGAGCGGCTAGGGTTTCCAGCCAGTGCCAAACCAGCCGCTGCCGCCGCCCGACGCCGGCGCCCCTCCCGATCCACGCGGTCGCCTCCACCACGCGCTGCCCCGACCCACGAGGCCCGCCATGGATCCCTCTTCCGGGTAGCAGATCTCCGCCGCCGCCCGCCTCCCTGCCTCGTCGCCGGTCGGCCTCGAGCCACCAAGCCGCCACCGCCGCCGCCCGCCGACCGCCGCACCTGGAACCGGACGCTCCTCTCCCTCGACTGCTTCCTGCCTGCGCGGCATCGACCACCATCTCTTTCCATTGCTGCACTGCCTGCGCCTGGAGCCAGACCTCCGGGCCACCATCCCGCCTGCTCTTCCCCCGGGAAACAGGTGAAACCTTCCCCTCTGCTTGCTGTGATTGATTTATACTCTTTCTACAAATGTTTACGGACAAGTGTATGATTAGTGTGTGAGTGGTACATATGAACAAGTTTATCCTGCGATCAATTCATGCTTTAATTATATAAAATGCTTGGTACATTAACGAGTGTATGGATCTGCTGAATGTGCATGTGTGCTGGACATTGCTTGCTGTTACATAGAAAGCTGTTATATATAAAAGCTTGCTGGACATTCCTGTGATCGATTCATGCTTTTGTTATATAAAATGCTTGGTACATTAACAAGTGTATGGATCTGCTGAATGTGCATGTGTGCTGGACATTGCTTGCTGTTATATATAAAAGCTTGCTGGACATTGCTTGTTGTTATATAAAATTTTTCAATCCTTTCTTGTCATACAAAAGGCTGCCCACTGTTCATTGCTGTCAATTTATATGAGCAAAAATTGTTACTTGCTGTCATTTTATATGAACAAAAATTGCTTGCTGGAGTGGACATGTATATGGATGACATGGTTGCTTGTTATTTAAATTTGGACTATTTGGTAATAGCTTGATGATTCCTTGCTGTTTGCACTGGACATTGCATGATTAGCTTGTTTTTATTTAAATCTGGACTATTTGGTGATAACTTGATGATTCCTTGCTGTTTGTACTGGACATTACATGGTTAGCTTGATGGTGATATTACTTGCTGTTTACTCCTATGTGGTAGTGGCTCCAAGTGTTTTTCATTCAGCCTCAGCCTAAACAAACAGGGCCTATGTTTGTTTTCTCAATTTTTATTTTTGTTCATGTATATTTTTACAGCTCTCAATGGCACAAACAAGTGAAAGCCAATCAAGCGGCGGGGAAAAAAGTGAAGATGGCTCTATCCTTGTTCCATTCACCCTTCGTAGGGAGTATCTGCATCGTGAGACCGGATTCGGATCTTTCTTTTTGGAGATGCCTTCCCTTGTAGAAGACATATCCAAAATTCATAAAAATCCTTATCCAAAAGTTGTCCTTCTAGTAAATGACAAAGATAAAAATCAGAAAGAGTGCTTAAAGATAATTCGTGACTTAAATCATGAAAACATTCTTCGAGTGGAGTTTTGGGAAGAAGTTAGCAATGAACCACATATCCGAGTATATGTTGAGCCTTATACCGCAATCATTTCAGAGCTTTTCCAGAATTTTGAATCTCTTATCAATCCAAGAACAAACATGATTCCATCTCAATCTTTTGAAGAAATCGTGAGGTTGGTGTGTATGCTACATCCAGTAGTGTATTGTGAATTACATTGTAAGTTTAACATTATGTATAATTAATCATATATTTTTCTTCCAGTGCAACGATGAGTGCTTTAGATTATATCAGAGACAATAATCAATATCACGGCAACTTCTCGTGGAAAACAACGTTTTATCATTTGGTGAATGGCAATGTTATAGTGAAGTTGGCAAACTTCGAAAGGAAAAGTAAGTTCGTCAAATAATCTATTGATCCATAATATTGGTTCTTAATATAATCTATTTGATGAAAAATTATAAATTAATATGTTTTGGCTTAGTCAACAACATGGAAATGTCTTTCTACATTAATGCTAGCTTTAAAACTAATATGCAATATATAGTAAATATATTCAAGTTTAGTATATGGTTGAAAATGGAATTAACTTTTAGTTCTTATCTTCCTTGTGCCATTTTAGACTCAAATGATCTGCTACAATGTCAAGTTGAGGATGTTACATCTCTTGGAGCCTCTCTTGAGGCGCTATCTCAGCATCTCAAAGATAATTATCCTAATGTCAAGAATTACACGTATTGCTTGATAGATGATCTTGCAAGGAAGTTAAAGTCCGTTACCAAGTAAGTTAGCCGAGAATCTTTTTTTTGTTGGTACTAATTGATTGCCCGTGTGTTGCTATGGAATAACAAAAAATAATCAAATAATTATTCTAATTTGGAAAATAAAGATGCCAAGCATGCTTACATATGCTTTCCGTCCATATAGCAATGAACTGATTTTTTTGCTATTTTTCTCTATGAGTAATTGTCATGTCTCCTTAATAACCCTCTACTTACAAGAAGACAAAACAACATTTTTTCCCTACCCCTCCTTGCCGTCCACTTGCGTGCAACGCAAAATAATAATGCTAGTTATGATTACCAATGCGAAATAACAATTGATTGAGAATAAGCACCTTCATTTTCGTTCTTGGCGAGGATATCTGGCTCTGGAATAGGAGAATAAAAATTTCATTGGAAAATGAATAATTTCTACAATTCTTATTATCTAGCCATACTATTGTGTACTACGTCTACAATACAGAATATAAAAAAAATTGACATATTAGTGCTGGAAGCCTGTTATATCATCTGCAAATATCCTTTGTGGATTGGTGTACATGGGAAGGGGGAAACTACCCATGCCATACAACTTTTTATGTTGTCATTAGATCAACTTCTTTATGTTATGGGAGAAGCCGAAGGCCTGAGAAAGACAAAGAAGATAAACCAAGCAAAGATAAAGAACACCAAAAAAAGGCAAAGCGTAATAAGAAAGATTCACTCATTATTTTAACTGACCAAGCTTTAGACTCCCTATTTGAATTTATCTTCATTATAGGAGTACATGACTAATTACATGCTAACATATACTGGAAAAAAGAAGGCCAAATACCAAATGCATTTTGTGCCTAGTCAATGGAATTGTTTTCTCCCTGTGTGAATGTCTGAATAAAACACCCTACTGTTGAGGGAGTTATTCATGAATCACACATGAGGCTGAGGCTTCATATCAAGTCAATAACCAAATGATCAATTATTTCAAAGAACCAGATGCCATGCTATGTTTAACGTTAGTTCAGCAGTATAGTTTTATAGTGTTACTTCTAAGGTGAAAGTTTGATGTTCATACTGTTGTCCCCCAGCATCCGTTGTGTTCAGCATCCATGAATCGCTGCATGGCATATGATGTCACCCCAGTAAGCACCACAGCCTTCTTCTGTTGGCAGGTTAAACAACGCCTCTGTAGATACTTGACCTTTTTCTCGTCAGACAATCTGGCATACCACCCTTGACTACATTGTAATCACCAATATTCATTAGGACTGTAAACGGGGCACACTCAGTAGAATGGAATACCGGTTGGTTATCCATCTGCAAGGGAAAGTAGAGCTGGAATGTTAAAAACATATGATACCGATGAGGTTCATACAGTTCATAAGGATTGAACATGAGTACATAACTGTAATACTATGCAAAACTTTCCCCATGCAAAACAGGGCAAATATGCTTTGCTATATACTCCCTCCATTCCTAAATATAAGATTGAACTACCAAAACATCTTCGGTTGACTGTAAATCTATGAGATTCATTTCATATGGAACTAGGATCTAACATTTCAAACTATGAAGAACCTAACAAAGTTTGCTTAATCTATCTTAATTGACATGATCCGGGGAGGCTCATGGACTGTCTTGGAGAATGCTAAATACTCCCTCCGTTCCTAAATATAATCTAGCTGTAGTAAAAGATGCACATGATCTCAGGAATAAGGATACATTTAGTACACAAAGCACCTGTTCCAGGCCTATACATTCTACTCTTATACTATTTACTGATCCAAGCAACCATTCCTGAGTTGATTTTTTGCAGTACTTAACCAGGTACACACAGTGACACAGAAACATCTCCTGCCATGTCATGTTGTAGCAAAAAATGAGTCAGAGTTGAAGGAAATAAAAGAAAATAAATATGGCGGCAGAAGATCACGTGGTACACATGGAAACATCTCCTGCCATGTGTGTGGTTCCTGACATATGAGATGTGCTTCTTGCACTAGTTGTAGCATGCATCCACATTTGGGTTGGTCTCTAACAGAGCACGTACAGTATATGTAACCAATAATCAGAATTTATTTTAAATTATCTCTATGTCTAGTCTTTCCATTGACCTATCAGTGGAACTCACTACAGTATATGTAACTACATACACAAAGTTCAGGTTTACAACTTAGAAATAAAATGTTGTATCGCAGTGCAAGATCGACATGTGAACTCCAGAGATAGCATTCCCGAATCCAGAAATAGACAAACTTAACTGCTGGTTCATAAATCAAAATAAACCTATCTATTCAAATTCAAGAGAAGATGCAACACAAATAGAATAGATGTGGTTCCACATTGGCACTTTGCTCTATCTTTACAATTGCAAATATTTATGAAATAAGATACAGTAAATTAATAAAAACTTGTTTGATTAGGATGATAACACAAAGATATTGTCAACCTGTGTCACTTGATTGTCTCCTGTCACCGCTTGCCACCCGCTGTCCAGTCTAG